CTTGATGGGACATGTGACACAGACACATGAGAGTGGGGTGACCTAGGCGGTGGTGCCACAGAAGCGAGGGGTGAGTGAGCGACCAACACGAGCAAGCCGCGGCGATCTGGGTAGATGCAGGCACCTGGGGGGACACCCCCACCGGGGGGGACGCGGTGTCTAGCATGAACAGGCCAGACACCGGGTCCTGGGGGAACGTGGTGAGGGGGGCACCAGTGGCGGCCTCCGTAGAGAATGCGTACTGCTTGTGGTTAGCGGGGTGGAGAACAAGGAAGTGGTCGTGGGCAGTGGCTAGGCGGACGGGAAGGTGTGTGGCAACGAAGTACACCTACGACGCACTCAACGTCAAGACACCACACCATCAGGAGGGGAACCATGCAGATATAGGTGATATATCTACAATCAGGTGGGAATGGGAAGAGTAATCACACTTAAATGTTACGGGGCCAATCCGCGTGCACGACAAATCCATCCATCAGGTCCGCCGCCATGATAGAACGTGGCGGCAAGACTGCTGTGTCCTCCAGTTTCCTCCTAGTGCCGAGGGGTTTAGGGAAGGGGGGACATTGATGTCAATCTCCTTGCACCCGGCCCGCTCCAGCTGATTGATCACCATCGGGTTGCGAATATTGAGCAACTCCTTGAGCTCTCGCGGGTTCATTCCAGTCCCGCGTGCAAATCCGACAAGGACGTTGGTCACCAACCGCGTCACACGTCAGTCGACGCGGCTCTGGCGATGAAGCTTGATGTAGAAGGGTCATTCCTCCTTGGGGTCGGGGCACGTCGGAGTAATGGAGAGGTCGTCAACCCCTTCGACGTCACACGTGGGGTGGAGGTCGTCCACCCTGACAAACTCAGCCGCCGTTATGGCCTGATCACCCAGCTGCAGGCGTTCGACGTCGCACCCAACAAGCTCCAAGAACTCCGTGGCGTCGGTCGGGTCAGACGACTTGTACAACCCGTGGGGTAGACGGGAGTGCCATGATGGCAGCAGGATCTTGGCACGCCACCAGCACCTCATCACCGTGGCGGGAACGCTGGCCCACGAGTCTGCCAGCCTGATGATGACCTCGCCCGGCCTTGGCTTTACTCGAAGTGTGCTGGGGGTGCAGCCCGCCGCCTCCCACGTCTCCAGCAGATTCTCCAGCTGCTGGAATCTGTACTTCGCCTTCACCGAGGCGATCATGCCCTGGTCCAGCGGCTGGATGTGCGAGGTGATGTTCGGGGGAAGATACACCAGTCGGACATTGCTCAGTTTCCGCGTGCGAAAACTGAACAAGTCCTCGGTGATGGCACTCTCGGACAGGGGGAGGGTGCGACTGATAGCAAGCTGCGCAACTGCGTCGCGCGACTCCCAGACAGAGCAGGCCAGCTCAGCAGCTGCAAAGGCCTCACGCTCAGCGGGCGTGGAGGCGTCAAAGAGGGCAGTAGGCGGGTCAGGGCAGGTGATCTTACCATTGACGTGGACGGCTAGAGACTGGCCATCCTGCCGCTGGCCCCCTTTGCGCTCCGCTGCCCCCCCCCCCCCCCCCCCCCCCCCTTTCCGTGCGCTGATGGCTCCCAGCTCACCGTTGGCCGGCCGCCGCTGCAAACCCTAGAGCGCCGAGCAGCTCCTAGCCTGCCGCCGGCCCCACCTGCCCTCGTCGCATGGCCCCGTGCTTGCTGGCCCATAGCTTGCCGGCCCTAGCTAGCCGGCCCTCACTCGCCGGCCCTACCTCGTGCCAGCCCCGGCCCTCTGGCCCTCGCTCGCCGGCCCCGGATCTCGCCGGCCTGAGCTCCTGTCGGCCCCAGCTCCCGCTGGCCTCAGTTCTTGCCAGCCCCAGCACCTGCCGGCCCCAGTTCCCGTCGGCCCCAGCTCCTGCCAGCCTTCGCTGGCCCCAGCTCTTGCCGGCCCTCAGCTCCGCAGGCCTCAGCTCCCGCCGGCCTCAGCTCCTGCCGGCCCTAGATCTTGTCAGCCCGAGCTCAGCTCGCATCGGCTCCATTCGCGCCGCCGGCATGCCGCTGGACTCCACGTGCCGTGCCTCACTGCGCCCGCTGGCCGTGCCGCTCCGCCGTCCCAGTCCGCCGGCCCTGGTCCTCCACTGGGCCGGCGCCTCCACTGGCTGCCTTCTCAGCCGGGCTCTCTACCGCTCTCCGCCGCTCTCCGAAGCTCCTCACTGCTCCTCCACCTCTAGCGGTCGTCCACTGCTGCAGCCGTGGTGATGGCAGACTCGCGGAGGGTCAGTGCTGTCATCTCGCGCTATTCCACTGCCTCTTCCACCTCTGCTGGCCATCTCCTTCTCCCCCTGCTCTTCCTTGATCTTGTGTCCTTCCCTACTATTGCTGCTCTTGCTACTCACCTGCACGCACTCGAGACTAGCTACCGCACTGCTAGCACTAAAGCTCAACTCCCTGTACCACCTCCACCCCTCGGCGCTACCCTCTACTTCAGCTCACTGTACTGCTCGCGACCACTTCCTTGGCCTCCACCTTGCTGACATCACTCTCGCTGACTTTGTCACCACCCAATCCGCGATAGAGACCCGCCGGCGCACTATCGCTCAGTCCAGCAATACAGCTGCGGTCCCAATCTTCGAGAGCTATGCTCCCTCCTAGTGCACATAATCTGACGTCTCTGCCACTGTCGCTGAGACAGCCCCTGCTGCTAAGACCACCGCGGCGGCCTCAGTGCAGTCTCGTCAGGATAGGGGCTGCCGACCCTGGGTGGGGCGTGGTGGCGGGAGTGGTGGCGGAGGTGGCGGCGATGGTGGAGGTGGCGGCAATGGCGGAGGTGGTACGAGTGCCGGTGGTGCAAACGAGGGGACCGGGGCTGATGCCTCAGTGCCGCAGTAGAGCAGCAGCAACACCCGTAGAGACCCTCACCGCCGTGGTGGCCTGGCGGCTTTGGTGGTGGTGGCCGTGGTGGCGGCTAGTGCTGCTCAGCGTCAGGTGACAGCCTCAGTGGGGCGACCTGTCAGTACCAGCTCCAGACCGGCCCCCGCTGCGGCACCGTGTGCGACCGTTCCGGTCCCACCACCGCCCTTTGCTACCGCCGCCTCGACGACCTCTTCCGTCTCCGGTTCGGCCATACGCAAGACCTCCTCGACTGGCACAGCCTGGTTTGTTGCCGTGTGCTGGTCTAGGGTAGAGTAGAGCAAAAAACATCCAGTTGCGGTACTTCCTCATGTGCGAGCTACAGCAGCGACGATAGGCCCGCGTAGTACACTTGGCCACCCGCGCCAACACAGCTGATATCTTTAGTAAGGCGCTTGCGCCTAAAGATCATCACCGGCAGTGTGTACAACTTGGTCTAGTTCTTGTAGCTCCTCACTTGCTAGGGCCCTGATAGTGTACTACTCTTTATGTTACCCTGATTGGTCTTGTGGCTCTTGTCCCAGTGGCTGGACTAGTAGTGCCACCCTGGGTTACTCTTGTCTGGTTTGTACTCTTCTGACTAGTCTTCAGACCCTTGCCTCAGAGGTTGGACTAGTAGAGTCACCCTGAGCTGCATGTCTCTTACTAGGCACTGCCCCTTCTCAAGCCTAGGGGGTGTGTCAACTTATATTCATATGTTGTTATAGGCTAGATAGGTGCATGCTCTTAGAGAGTACAACACACTAGCACAAACCACCCTATATCCTCTTGTCTACTCAATGCGTTATTATGAGATTTCCCCTACTCAGACGTTCTTGTCTTTAAGGCATGTCCTAAGAGTATGTACGGGGCATTTTACAGGAAAAAAAACGTTCACCGCAAGCAAGTCCAAAACCGTATTCTAAAGTGTAAACAAGTTGCTTGGGTCCATGGAGGCGAAAATAGCTGCGCCCGTAAATCCATCCCCAGGTGAACACGAATCGCCCGCAAATGGAAGGGAACCTATTATGATTTACTGTAGAAGGTGTCAATGAAATATAATGTGAGAATAACAAGGTCGCTATTGCAATGAAAGCACGAGGTTATATAGGGGTTGGCATACTAGGGCGATAACCTTGGAACGTGGGTAGGTTCGGCAATGTGGTGACAGTGTCGGACGCGACTCGGGAAAGGGTTGGGACGACAATTGAGGCCAAACGTGACGAGTCGAGGAGTTCGGATGTACGCGGTAGCGGACGACTCAGTAACGAATGGAAATTCCTTACACTACCCCCCCTCCTAAACGAGGCCACGGGCATCGGAAACATTCCGACGCTGATAATACGCTATCAGAATTGGATGTGATTCTAGCTCAGCGAGAGGTACCCAGCTGTCATCCTCAGACGTCCGATCACGCCATCTGACGAGAAAATCCACCGTGCGACGGTTGAGCTGCGTCGTGACACGATGGCCCAGAATCTTTAAGGGCTCTGTCATCGGTTCCTGTAGAGGTGTCAGCTGCGGTAAATTGCGTTGGCGGGCCAAGTCCAACGAACTGGGGACGTAGGCCCGTAAGAGGCTGACGTGGAAAGCCGGGTAGTGACGCCAATCAGCCGGGAGTCGGAGGTGAGCAGTGACAGGTGTCACCATGGTGGTCACTTGAAAAGGGCCACAAAATCAGGGTCGGAGTTTGCTCGGGATCGGCAGCCGCAAATTGCGTGTGTCGAGTAGCACGAGATCCCCCACTTTGTAAGTGACGTCACGTCAATGGCAATCGGCCTGTCGGCTTGCAACCAGGATGGCTTTTTGGGCCTCAGCTACTTTTTCTCGAACTGTGAGTATGTCTTCGGCAAATCGTTGGGACCAGGGCACGGGTGTCTCGATGTTGGGTGTAGTCGGTACCACTGGGTCCTGCCCATAATTGAGGAAAAATGGGGATTGATGAGTTGTGGCGGAAGGCACGTTATTATACGCGAATTCCATCAGCGGAAGGGATTTCTCCCATGTCTGTGGGTCAGTACAGGTAGTCTGAATGAGTTGCTCCATAGTTCGGTTGACTCGTTCGGTCTGCCCGTCGGTCTACGGGTGGTAGGTGGAGGAAAACTGTAGTTTGGTGCCGAATTGGTCCCACAGGTTGCGCCAGAAATTCGATGTGAATTTCGGGTCTCGGTCGGAAATGATGGCGGAGGGCAGTCAGTGCAGTCGGATGACGTTGGCAATGAACAGTTGGGCAGTTTGTTCGGATGTAATTTTATGTTGGCAGGCAATGAAGTGCGCCATTTTCGTGAGTCGGTCGACGACCACGAGGATGGCGTCGTTTCCGCTGGGACCGGCCGGCAATCCTGTAACGTAGTCCATCGTGGCGTGTTGGCAGGGTCGTTCGGGCGGATCCAACGGCTGTAATAGTCCGGCTGCTTGCTGATGGGATGATTTCATGATCTGGCAGGCAGTGCAGGAGGACACGTACTTGCGCACGTCGTCGGCCATGTTCGGCCAATAATAATTACGCTGCAACGTCTTCATGGTTTTGTCGACTCCAAAATGCCCTGAGGTAGGATTGTCATGGGATTCCTGGATTAGAAGGGTACGAAGTATATCGTAGCCGGGAACCCAGATTCGGGAAGTGTCGTTTTTATGAAAATAGTGGCTAGTAGTGGTAGTATGTTGTTGGTGAATAGCGGAACGGAAGAAGGGGTCGATTTTGTAGCCGTGGGTAAATAGTCCTGTAAGGAGTGGGCTAGTCTGGGCAACTAGTATGGCGACTGTATGGGCAGTGGGTCGGGTCAGGGCATCGGCAATGTTATTGGCGCCCTGTTTGTAGGTGATGGTATAGTGGAAGATGGCGATGTCGCTGGCGTCGGTGATGACTTCGTATGGACGGTCAGGATCAGAGATGCGAAGGACGGGTGGCGACGTGAGGGCGATCTTCAGTTCGTCGAATGTAGCTTGCTGCTTCTCTCCCCACCAAAAACAATCGTGCTCCTTGAGTCGGTCAGTTAGCAGGGCAGATAACCCAGCCATGTTAGGGATAAATCGGCGGACGTAGTTGACGAAACCCAAAAAACTTTGCTGCTCCTTGATGTTGCTTGGTGGCTTCCACTCCTGGATGGTCTTGATTTTCTTGGGGTCGATTTTCACTCCTTCAGTAGAGACGATGTGGCCCAGAAACTCCAACTCCTGCTTAAGAAAATTGCACTTAGAACCTTTGGTGATGAGGCGATTCTTCTGTAGCAGCGTGAAGATTGCATCAAGATCTTTTAAGTGCTGCTCCCGGCTACGGCTGTAGATGAGTATATCGTCGAGGTAAATGATGACGCATTTGTCCAAGAGTTCCCTGAAAATTCCATTCATGGTCATTTGGAATGTCGAGGGCGTGTTCGTGAGGCCAAAAGGCATCACCAGGTACTCATAGCTGCCGTAGTGGGTTCTAAAAGCGGTCTTGTGACAATCTTCAACGGCGACGCTAATCTGATGGTAACCCCCTCGCAAGTAGATTTTGGAGAAGAACTTGGCGGTGCGGAGTTGGTCGAGGAGTTCGTCGGCTCGCGGGATCGGGTAACGCGACTTGATGGTGATCCGGTTGAGCGCGCGGTAGTCGATGCACATTCTGATCCGCCATCCTTCTTCGGCGTGAATAGTATCGGGGCGGCGTATGGGGATGTGCTGGGCCGGATAAATCCCTTCGTCAGAAGGTAATCCAGCTGCTGCTGCAATTCTTCTAGTTCCGGTTGGCTGAGCCGAAATTGTCGCTGTACCGTTGGTTGGGCGCCGGGTTATAGCTCGATGCGATGGTCTTCTGGTCGGCTCGGTGGAAGTCCCGTTGGCAGGTCGTCCGGGAAAATCTTGGGGTATTTCCGAATCAGGTCCGCTAAGTCCGCAGGAACGGCTTCGCACAGCTTCGCGATATCTTCGGCCGTGGTCGTCGACGTCACCTCGCGAAGATCAACGGCGTACGCTGCAGCTCCCGATTTTATCGCGTGCTTGAAAGTTATCGCGTGGACTTGGGTGCTTCGCATGTGAGGTCCCGTCCACTTGGGCAGCTCGCGGGAAATCCCCTTGATGATGCAGCCGCCCGTCGTCCAGTCAATCTTCGGGTTGTACCGTCGCAACCAATCACATCCCAGCAGCACGTCGCAACCGTCGAGAGTAGTCGCCAGTAGTCCCATCCGAAATTTTACGTGCTCCCCACAGGTGAAACCAACGTTCTCCACTCGTTCCCGTATTGCCAGCGGTGTTCTGTCCACCAATCGGGCGTCGATTTCAGGTAGACACTTGAGTAAGGGTATACCCAATTTTTTAGCCATGTCCAACTGGATGAAACTGTGACTTGCGCCTCCATCAACGAAAATCTTCAATAACACTCCGTTGACTTCACCCTCCACCAATACAGGATGATCAACAGTTTCGTCCCCCTGATTCGTCCGGGTCCGGTCGATTGCAGCAATCGGGATCACGACCCGGTGGGGAATGTGTGGTTCAGGTGAAGAAGCCTGCTCGCCAGTAAGGGGCCTGGTACTTACTGACGCGACCCATTTCCCGGTCGCTCCTCCGGCTTCTTCCCCATAGAATTCTGGATGGCTATGAATTCTTGGCAGTTGCGTCGGATGTGACACGGCCAGCCACAGTGGTCGCATAGCCCCGTATTTCGCGGAGAAACTGCGTAAATATCCACTGCGTCCACCCCTTTTATCGTGGTGCACTGGTACTGTTCTCGAGGGCGACCTCTGTCGTAGAAGTTTGTCCTCGGCTTCGTGAGCGAATCAGCGGCTTCGGCGAGTTGGTTAAAGTCTTGTAACCGCTTCGCAGGTCGTTGCAGTTTTATCTGGTACTGTATTTCAGGCTTCAAACCGCCCATGTACCTGTCGACCTTCTCCAACTCGTGCATGTAGCCACATCTGTCCACCAACGTCAGAAATGACGCGGTGTACTCGGACACAGATCCCAGCTGCTTCCACATGCGTAGAGTTTCGCGTGCTTTGTCCGAGTCAGGAGCATGCTCAAAATGCTTGCGAAGCTCTGCGCACCACGTTGCCCACGTGCGAATGTGGGTTGCACCAAACAACAAGTCTGCCTCATCTTCGTCGCTGAATTCTTCGGACCACTCGTGCTGTCCTTCTGTGCGAGTTGCCGCTAAGTCGACGATGACCTTCCACCACTGTAGGGCGGCCCCTTGCAATAGTGTTAACGCGTGGCTGATCCGCTTCTGATCGTCTCGGATGCCCGCCGCATTAAAATAGATATTCATGGCGAATATCCACTGCTGCACCGTCACGCCTTCATTAGCTGGGTCAAAAGGAGCGGGTTGCTGATATCTTACGCCGCCAATTGTCGAGCGCGGGGCTGTTGCCGCTAGTCGTGCCAGCTCCACTGGCGACGGTTGCTGCTCACCCGCCTCACTTCGTGCATCGTCGCCCGGCTCCTCTGAACACCTCTCATGCGCCTGGCGAAGTCGTTGGTTCTCGTCGCGGAGATTGTTGACGACGCTTGTCAAATTATTCAACTGCTCCAATAATGCTCGCAGGTCCACAGTTTCCCGGGCAGGGTTCGCAGCAGTCGAGGTGGACTGTCCCTCAACTGTCGAATCTACCAGGGCCATGTCGGTCAGGACGGGGCAGAAGCTAGCGCACACGCTGTAACTGCTGGCGTAAAAATATTTACGACCCAAGGCAACTGCTATGGAAGCGTGCTAATCGCCTCTGACCACCCATAACTAAGTAGCCTGAGAAACGAAAGGTTCCGAGAAAGGTCGGGCTCTCATACCAGCTGTTATCATTTAGGTCTCAATGAAATAAAATGTGAGAATAACCAGGTCGCTATTGCAATGAAAGCACGAGGTTATATAGGGGTTGGCGTACTAGGGCGATAACCTCGAAACGTGGATAGGTTTGGCAATGTGCGACAGTGTCGGACGCGATTTGGGAAAGGGTTGGGTCGACAATTGAGGCCGAACATGACGAGTCGAGGAGTTCGGAGGTACGCGGTAGCGGACGACTCAGTAAGGAATGGAAATTTCTTACAGAAACTGAGAACACTACACGCGAAGCGGAACTCTGTAACCCAACTCGCCCATATTCTTGCCAAACGAGGTACCCATTGGTCTCCTCGCATGTCAATCGCGAAATCAATTCGCGAGAATCAAGGTTTCATATCCCGCATCGAGGTCTCGTTTCGAGGTACTCTTTGGGAGTACCTCGAAACATACTGGGGAATGTCACAAAACGAATGGTCGATGTTAGTTAGTCGATTTTGGCTACTGTTGCACCTGATTATTTGGTAACTGTACCTCAAAAGAGAGACGGTACACGGTATGTAAGGAATTTCCATTCCTTACCGAGTCGTACACTAGCGCGTACACCCGAATTCCTCGACTCGTCAAGTTCGGCCACAATTGTCGGCCCAACCCTTTCCCGGGTCGCGTCCGGCACTGTCGCCACATTGCCAAACCTACCCACGTTCCGAGGTTATCGCCCTAATACGCCAACCCCTATATAACCTCGTGCCTTTCATTGCAAAAGCGACCTTGTATTCTCTCATTATAGTTCATTCACACTTCATAAATCATAACACGGTACTCTTAAGACACGCCTGACCCCAGAACACACCGCACCCAACCGCAATCGAGCACACCCTCAGGACATGCCCTGAAGTACAGTGTAAGGAATTACATTTCCTTACTGCGCTAAATTACAGAGCGTACACCCGAAGACCTCAACCTCGCAGGTTCGGCCTGGATTATCGGCCCAAACCTCCCCGAGTCGCGTTCCGAAACCCTCGCCAACCTTCCATACCAACCTCACGTCCCGAGGTTCTTGCCCTAGTACGTACAAGCCCTACTTTAGCCAGTTCACTCGTCACTTGCTGATAATTCATATTCCTAGGTTGTATGTCCATTACTCAGTCGATTGTCTCATTTTGTTATGATTTAGAAGATGTCAATAAACTATAACGTGAGAATACAAGGTTGCTATTGCAATGAAAGAACGAGGTTATATAGGAGTAGACGTAGTAGGGCAATAACTTCGGGACGTGGGTAGGTTCGGCAATAGGGCGACAGATTCGGACACGACTCGGGAAAGGTTTGGGCCAAAAATGAAGTCCGAACGTGACAAGTCGAGATGTTCGGGTGTACGCGGTAGCGGACGACTCAGTAAGGAATGGAAATTCCTTACACATTTCCCCTCATAACATGCAGCGTGACTAGGGTCACCTTTGGAATGACGGAGCTGAAAGGCGCTCTCCCAAATTCTATTTGCATGAGACGAATCGATTTGCATGTCACGATCGCACCCACACAAAACGCGGTGACAATTTCGCCAATTTCAGCCCGATCGTACGGCACTTGTTGTCAGAGATTTCGCGGACTCCCAAAATATTTTCGCAAAATTATTTCTCATCTCACTTGACGGCTGGCCGTGGTCAATGACGGCCAGCGGACGAAATGGCAACTGCCCCCTTCCCCTTCCACCCCACGCCACACCCAAACCTTCCATCATATTCGTTCTTCTATCGGGTCTAGTGCTAGCGATTCACGAGGATACAGGAACAGAAACAGGAACGGCCTACTCTGCTCCTGCATTCTGCTCTTGTGTGCTATCAGCTCAGACCAACTGTCATCGAACCTCGCTTACCTCTCACGTTAGGACCTTCCGCATACGGCAGGAAGTCCACGCGTGACGCTCGCGGCTGAGTCTGAAGCGCAGAACGTTGAGCATGGCGGCTCCAGCGATTCTTGAACGGCCTTGCCGTTTATGCTCGAGTAGGAAAGTCTACAAATTAGACATCCGAGATCTCCAATGTCATCACAGCCTCAGCAACATCTTCTCTCATACAATCAGTATCCATCAGCGTCGATCAGTATCGATCAGCGTTTCCCTCATTCTGTCAGATCTGACACACCAATTAGCGCACGACCTGTTGAACTTCTTTTCATATTCCGCTCTTCCTGCGATAAGATAACCATGATGGGTACTTCTCGTTTCCATATGTGCAATTGGTGGTCGATTGTTGAGTGTGTAAAGACGTGCTGATGATGTTGTGATGTATGAACGGAAATGCACGGCATAGCAAACCTGTAGTGGGAACCATCTCCTACGGGTAGCCACATGTAGGCCCTATTAGTAGGTTGAATGGTTGGCAGCAGCTACTTATGGCGCTTGTAGATCTTGAGGAAAGATATGTAATTTTTTGCATGTGTGTAACACTTTCTAAAAATGTGTAGCGAGTGTCAAACATGTGTATTTGTCATGTTTGTATAGACTGTATAGGGTTACCTCTTAGAGGGTACAACACTTAGGTATATTTGTGTGTACTCTCTCTTTACCATTATTCAATTCTAATTCTGATATGGTATCACGCGTAGGTAGGATCCCCCCCACCTACCGCTTCCGCTCATCCCCCCTAGCGCCCTTCCTGGGCCCTGTAGCGCCCCCCCCCAGGCCCCGTCGCGCCCCTCCCAGGCCCCGTCGCGCCCCTCCCAGGCCCCCTAGCGCCCCTCCTGGGCCCCGTCGCGCTCCTCCCAAGCCCCGTAGCGCCCCGTCGCGCCCCTCCTGGGCCCCGTAGCGCCCCTCCTGGGCCTCGTCGCGCCCCTCCTGGGCTTCGTAGCTCCCCTCCTGGGCCCTGTAACGCCCCTCTCAAGACCCGTCGCGCCCCTCCCAGGCCCCGTCGCGCTCCTCCCAGGCCCCCTAGCGCCCCTCCTGGGCCCCGTCGCGCTCCTCCCAGGCCTCGTAGCGCCCCTCCTGGGCTCTGTCGCGCCCCTCCTGGGCCCCGTCGCGCCCCTCCCAGGCCCCGTTGCGCCCCTCCTGGGCTCCGTAGCGCCCCTACTGGGCCCCGTCGCGCCCCTCCTGGGCCCCGTAGCGCCCCTCCTGGGCCCTGTAGCGCCCCTCCTGGGCCCTGTAGCGCCCCTCCTGGGCCCCGTCGTGCCCCTCCCAGGCCCCGTCGCGCCCCTCCTCGGCCCCGTAGCGCCCCTCCTGGGCCTCGTCGCGCCCCTCCTGGGCTTCGTAGCGCCCCTCCTTGGCCCCCGTCGTGCCCCTCCTGGGCCCCGTAGCGCCCCTCCTGGGCCGCGTCGTACCCCCCCCCCCGCCCTGGTCCCGTCGCACACTGCCCAACCCCGTCGCAGCCGCCCGGCCCCGTCGCGCCCGCCCGGCGCCGTCGCAGCCGCCTGGCCCCGTCGCGCCCGCCCGGCCCCGTCGCCACCGCCTGGCCCCGTCGCCCCTGCCTGGCCTCGTCGCAGCCGCCCGGCCCCGTCGCACCCGCCCAGCCCCGTCGCACCCTGCCCGGCCCCGTCGCAGCCGCCCGGCCCCGTCGCACCCGCCCGGCCGCCGTCCCGCTCGCCCGTCCCCGTCGCACCGGCCCGGCCCTGCCTCACTCGCCCGGCCCCGTCGCCCCAGCCCGGCCCAGTCGCGCGCGCTCGGCCCCGTCGCCCCGTCCCGGCCCTGTCGCACCACCACGCCCCGTCGCGCCCGCCCGGCCCCGTCGGGCCAGCCCCGGCCCCGTCCTCCTCACTGGTACGGTTCCCCCCCACCCCGCCCTGCTCCGTGCCGCCCCGCACCACACTGTACTGCCTGGCACCGCACTACACCGCACTACACCGCACTGTACCGCATTGCACCGCACTTCACCGCACTGCACCGCACTGTACCGCACTGCACCGCACTGCACCGCACTGCACCGCCCTGCACCGCACTGCACCGCACTGCACCGCACTGTACCGCACTGCACCGCACCCCACCTAGCTGCACTGCCCTGCACCGCACTGGACTGTTTCTGATGGCGGCGGAGCTTCGCTTCGACGCTGAAGGTCAGCCCCTAGAGTTCGAGGCGTGGCTTGCCGACCTCCGCCGCCAACTCACTGGCCAGCGGCAGGATGGTGAACCGCTTTCCGCACACCTTGACGGTACGCTCCCCTGCCCAGACCCCCCTGCTATTCTGCCCGCTGACCCCACACCCACTGAGCGTGAGTCTACTGCTGCCACTGCCCGTGCGCGCTCTGTCTGGCTTTCTCGCGATGCTGTTGCCCAGCTTGCCATTAGCAACGCCCTTCCCCCATCCGAGCGTCCTCGCTTTAGGTCCCTCACTACTGCTCAGGCATACTTAGATGCTGTGATCAAGCGCTATTCCACCCCTCCGGCTGCCTCGGTGGGTCGCCTGATCCTCCCGATGCTCTTTCCTAACCTTGCATCTTTCCCCACTGTCTCTGACCTCGCTGCCCACCTGCGCTCGATAGATGAGACCTGGCGCGCTGCCTGCACTGACGCCCAGCTTAGAGCCCACCAGCCGCCCATTACCTCTACCCTCTACCTGCTTGCCACCCGCCTCCCTGACCGCCTTGCTGTCGCCCGCGACCGCTTTCTTAGCGTTCACCCCGCAGACCTCACCCTCACTGACTTTGTAGACACCCTGACTGTGATAGAGACCCGTCACCGCTCCATCGCCCAGTCGAGCGGTGTCGTGCCTGTCCCTATCTTTTAGGGTTGTGCCCCCGCTGAGTGCACCTTCTCCGACGGCTCTGCCGCAGTGGCTGAGACTGCTGCTGCAGCGCAGGTCCGTTCGGGGAAGGGCCGCCGCCCCAAGGCTGGGCGCGGCGGAGGAGGCGGCGGGGGTGCAAGCGTGGGTAGTGGTGGGGTCGGGTCGCCTGGTGCTGGAGCGGACGAGGGGACCCTGCCCAGTCCAGCTGAGTCGCCGCCCCTGCAGTTGCAGCAGCCGCAGCAGCCGCCGCAGTCGCAGCCTTCGCAGCAGCCGCAGCAGCCGTCGCAGACGCGGCAGACGAGTGTCCTCCCGCCAGGGTGGCCCGGCGCTGGCGGTGGCCGGGCGCGTGGTGGTGTGCCGCGTGGTGGCTCTGGCGGCGGGCGTTGTCAGTACCAGATCCAGACCGGTCCTTGCGCGGCTTCGTTTGCGGTAAGATCAGTCACTCCACTCCCCACTGTTTTCGTCGCCTGGACGACCTCTTTCGTCAGCGCTTTGGCCCGTCGCCAGACCTCCCGGACTGGCACAGTTTGCTTAGTCGTCAGATTCAGATTTTTGATATGGACATGGATGCCATTGTTTCTGCTCTGCATGTGATGTATGCTGATGACTCTAGTGTGCTTCCCGCTTATTACTCACTGTTGCCTAGTGTAGGTGTGCCTAGCTTAGCCTCCCTTGCTGCGTCAGGCGTAGGATCCCCTGCTTTGTGTAGTCTTGGTGCTTCCGCCGTCGTTCCGTCGCCAGACCCCTCGGCTTCGCTTTCCTTCACCTTGGACTCTGGCGCCTCTCGGTGTTTCTTCCGCGACTCCACCACCCTGACGCCGCTTCCTGTTCCTGCTGCCGTTTCTCTTGCTGACCCCTCCGGCGGTCCGGTAGTCGCCCGCAGTTCCACCACCCTTCCCTGTCCGGCGGTTCCTTCGGGTTCTCTTACGGGTCTGCATATCCCCTCGTTCTCCAGGAACCTAGTTGGTGTCGGCTGCCTCCAGGACCTTGGCGTCACCACTACGTTCCCTGGCCACGAGCGGTATGCTGTCTGTACCGAGGCCGCCACTGGTGCCCCCCTGTCCACGTTCCCCCGGGACCCGGTGTCCGGCCTGTTCACTCTGGACACCGTGACCCCCCCGGCTGGAGCGCCCCCTCAGGTGGCTGCGTCTACCCAGGTTGCTGCTGCCTGCTCCTGTCGCTCCCTCACTCACCCGACCCTCCTGTGGCACCACCGCCTAGTTCACCCTGCGCTCCCGCGTCTGCGTCACATGTCCCAGCACGGTCTCGTCCTTGGTCTCCCAGGTTCGCTCCCCGCGTTTCCCTCCTCTCCAGCCCCACCTTGCATGCCTTGTTTCGAGGGTCAGCTTCGCCGTGCCCCTCACTCCTCCTCGTTTCCCCCTACCGCCGCGCCGCTGCAGACCCTGCACCTGGACGTCTGGGGCCCCGCCCCGGTCCCTGGGCCGCGTCGAGAGCGCTACTTCCTTGTGCTTGTCGACGACTTCACTCGTTACACCATAGTCTTTCCCCTGGAGCGCAAGGCCGACGTGCCTGGCGCTCTCATCCCCTGGCTTGTCTCTGCACGTGTCCACCGCGGTCTCCCTGTCTTGCGTCTTCACTCAGACCGTGGTGGCGAGTTTGCCTCAGGTGTCCTTGGTCGCTTTTGTCGTGCGGAGGGCATCACCCAGACGTTCACCCATCCGGACTCCCCACAGCACAATGGGGTCGCTGAGCGACGCATCGGTTTGGTCATCGAGGTCGCTCGCACCTCCATGATCCATGCCGGTGCACCCCATTTTCTGTGGCCGTTCGCTGTGCGCTACGCTTCTCACCAGCTTAAACTGTGGCCGCACCCTCAGCAGCCGCAGGTTTCGCCGACCCGTCTTTGGACTGGGTCTCCTGGTGACGCGTCTGCGTTCCACGTCTGGGGCTGCCTTGCTCACGTCCGTGCCTCGCCTGTCTTGCGCTCCCACCCTATGTTGCTTCGTTCCCATGCATCTCGTCCTCCCCTTCTCCCGTCGCCTCCTCCGTCCTCCCTTGTTGTTGCGCCCCCCCCGCTGTCCGACTACCTTCGTGCCGCTCGTCCTCTTGTTCCTCGGGTCCTTGCCTCTCTCGTTACCGACCCGACTGTTCCGGTCTCGTGCCTTGACGCTCTTGTCGCTGCTGTCGCTGACTTCGCCTCTACCCGCCGCCTTGACTACGCCACCGCTCTGGTCTCTGACCCTGCCTGTCCTCCGTCTGTCGGGGGTGCTCCTGCCCTCCGCAGTGACGTCCTGGAGGACCGCCAGTTCGAGCTTGCTTTCCTCTCCGAGGCTGCTCCCCATCTCTGTTCCATGCTGCTAGTCCCTGAGGGTGACCCAGACGCTTTCGACATCCCGACCCCTCGCACTTACGCTGAGGCGACTTCGGGACCCTGGGCCTCGCAGTGGATAGCTGCCATGGAGCAGGAGATGGCATCTTGGAGATCCACCGGCACCTTCGTCGACGCAGTTCCCCCACCTGGGGTGAACGTAGTCGATGGCCGCTGGCTCTTCAAGGTGAAGCGCCCTCCTGGAGAGCCGCCTGTCTTCAAGGCGCGCTATGTGGCTAGAGGC